CCATGCAGTTGGCACAGTCGGGTGGCCGCGTACCCCGGCCTAGACGGGTCATCATTCGTAACGTGTTCTTGCGTAGCGAGTATTGGCAAGAACGTACTGGCAGAGGCAGGTGCGGTTGGCATGCTCGCTGGTCGCACAGTCGCATTGGCCATGGCCCGAGCACCACGAGTGCGTATTGGGGTGCCAGCCCGGACAAGCTAAGATTCGGATCAGGACGGCGTCGCAATGGCATAGCAGATCGGTACCGCTGTCGTCTTGGATTTCATAGTACAAGTCCATTTGAGCTAAGCCCACGTACGAGATGCCGCCAAACGAGCAGTCGTGGCGCTGGCTGTGGTCGCCCGTCCACTCAAACTCAATCTGAAAAGCCACGGACGCGTTCGTAATGAACGGCAAGATCGAGCGCTGGCCGCCGCGCCCTGGCACGATGTAGTTGCCGTGGGCGGGAGCACGTCGTACCAGTCGTCGCAGTGCGGGTAGTTGGGCGCTACGTATGCATCGGACGGATACACGAGCGACGTCAGTAGCTCGTTGCCATTGACTTTGACGCTGCGCACGAGGCCTTTGCCCGTGATGAGGTTGCTTTGCCAGTCAATCTGCTTGACGCTCACGGCCACAGACGCCTAATCACGCAGCCTCAGCACGCGAACGATGGGCGACGCGCGACCTTGCACAGCGTCTGCGACCGGCGGTCCCAGAGCGATGCGAGCGGCGCCGCTGTCGTAAAGGGGCACGTGACGCCGTCCCAGGCCGTGCACACGGCCAAGAGGCTTTGGTGGAGCTCACTCATCACGAGCTGGAGCACGGCCACGAGGAGCACGACGCGCAGCTGGGCCATGGTGGATGTCGTCGTCGCGGACCGACCTGCCAGATCTTCCCGTTCTTGAGGCGCAATCCGTACACTATTATACGGCGCTTGCAATACCACTCCTCTCGCTCGTTGTATAGGCATACGAACACCGAGAGGCCACAATGCGCGATCCTTAAATAGTGTACGACGCAAAGGGCCATATTGTTAGAATATGCAATGTCAACGGCAATATGGCATGTTATAACAGAACGGTGCCACTTCAACTGCAAGCACAAGGGACACAAGGGAGACCGCCTGCTTGTAATAGTCTCGTTGAAACACCATAACAATAGGAACGATATCTTACATAGTCTTTGGTAGATCCATTGGCGGCAGTACGGTGGACGGTAATAGTAGGAACTCGACTGGCAGCGCGCTTCCATGGCAATAGTGTAACCCTATCCCTCGACCCAGCTGCATAGAAACCATATCGTCTATGTGAAGCAAGAAAATAAGAAATTGATCTTATTTCCTTGGTGTGGAGCTGCCCAAAATGCAATGAGATCTTCGCGATATGCACAGCCGGTCGCTGGTGGAAGCGATGATGGCGTGAGACCGACGGGGCATATCGAGCAAGGGACCAGCGATGCGACGAGAGGTACAAGGCAACATCGAGGTACGTTTACTACGTCATCGCTCGCTCGATTCGCCCCATCATCGTGCTACGCGTCCAGCACAGCTAGAAAGGGTAGCGACTTGAGTGCAACGGGATGCCATGCACGATCCCATGATGGCGTCCTGGACGGGCACAGTGAGGTTGATAGTGTCAACAGAAAGCCGCCCTCGACGACTTTGCTTTTGAGCGTCTCGCACCATGGACTATTAATACCGATAGGTATGTTGTGCTAGTAGTTGTGGCCAACGAGAGTGTCCTCGTCACCGTCCAATGTGAGCACGGGAACGAAAAGCGAGTTGGTTGACGACAGAGGTCGCATCATGGGTACCAATACTCGGCAGCAACACAAGTGTCGTGGGCACGGCAAGACGAGAATGGGACGTGTAGAAACCCTCGAAACGATCAACGTGTAGGCTCACGAGAGCGCAAGCGCACTCTTCCTGTCGAGCCACAGCAAACGAGGAGGTCGTCGTCACAGATCGTCCCGCCTTTGCAACGCAATTATGATGCGTCGTGGTCCACTCGTGCATTTGGTATCCTCGACTCAACTTCCAAATCCGTCCGGGTTGGCGCCCAACGAGAGCCTGAAAGAACTGCAGCGTCTTGTCGACAAGCGGTGAATCTAGACGCAACCAAGAGGACAACGCCACTATCGTGGACTGCCCTATTCAGCACCGATCGACACACATCATTTCCATGTCCACCCGTCGAGTGCACATGACAATATTGTACAAAAAACATAATAATATTGAAAAATGGACCCGGACGTAGCTCAAATGATGATGTGCAGCGGCTCCAGCTCGCGTGCAAGCAACGACGAGGGGCTTGCAGCATGCTCGGATGACGAGGACGATGACACCGACGACGACGCTGCAGGCGTCACGGGCGCGCTCTGGTCCATGCGCGGGATCTCCTCGACGAGAAGCGACAGAATCGAGTGGTCGATCATATCGTCGCTCGTGTAGAGCTCCTCCATGTCGCGCTGCTGACTCTTGTTGTGCCGGTGACAAAGGCCTAGGACGCGGCCGTACTGGAAGCAACCCGGCACCTTACACACGTTGCCACCGCCGTGCCGAACGCACTTTTGGCGTGCGTGGGCTTGGCGCAGGCAGCCTTGGACGGTGCAGTAGCGCTTTGGCGACGGCCCGCCGTGGTGCAAGCAGAGGTCGCCACCGCGCACGGTGTTGGCGCAGCCTTGGACGCGGCAGGCCTTGCGGCCGCCATGGCGCACGCAGAGATTCCGAGCGTAGACCTGGTTGGAGCAGCCTTGGACGCCACACATCTTGCGGTTCTTGTGAAAATCGCACTTGGTGCCGGGGCCCGGCAGCGCCTCGTTGGGGCAGCCGTTAAAGATACACAGCGTCATGCGAAGGCGGAGGTGGCAAATGAAAAAGTGATCCTCGATGGCGACCTTTCTCTAGTGCTAGTACAGTAGACAGTTCTACGCGCCACGGCGATAGCAGATGGGCGCCTTCAAGAAGACCACTTGCGTTGCTCACATCGCACCCGCGCCGAGTGCCGCACCAGCCGCGTCGATGCTTGTGACGCTATGGGGATGGCTAGTGGGACGATACGCGCCATTCCCAGCCTTGGAGTGGTCGATGACGCCGCGCCAGCACCACCGACGGCAGGTGAGGTGTACGATTTGTCAAACGTGATGTCAACCGCTTCGTACGATAGGACTAGCGCTTCGTAGCGTATTGGCTCATAGGAGCAGTCGGCTGAGATCTTATTGTAGAAGCCGTTGGCTGACATTGCACTTGGTAGCCATCGAGATGGCACATGGTACTCTTCACGGTACCGTTCGTGGACGGCATGAGTGGAAGGGATCAGTCTCTCATCTGGTCAAGCATGCTCTTGCACATGTAAACGACAACCGTGGCCTTGAGGGCTTGACCCTGTTGTCCAACACTATGAACTCGTAAAGACTTGGCGCTGGAAAATCCAAAGAACGGGGGGCCGATCAAGAGGCGGACGAGTGCGACTCCGTGGCTGCTCTGTGACAGATAATCATTGCCAACGCGACGTTAGAGACAGTCAAGGACGACGGTGCGAGTCTCGTTTCAATGACGCGCCCCGACCGAATGCGATCAGTAATGTAGAGCCGAGTAGCCTCGCGATGGCATCCTACTGCATACCAGTCCTGGGGGCAACATCACGTAGCCACGTCTGTGCACTTGCGACCCACTAATTAAAGAAATCAACCGCGCCACCTCGAGCGCAGTCTGAAGCATCTCGAGTCGCTCGCTCGTATACGCTCCGAACTAGGAGTATGTGTCGACGACTGTTCAACCCCGCTATCTTTCCCGCGTTATCCGATTGATTTGTTGCCCGAACACTAGGGATTAGCAAAAACAACTACACTACTAAAACATACGGGAGTCGGTAATCCATTGCCGTTAAACGACGATCATTGCCCGCGCGTGGGCAGAACACGCAGCGAACCCGCGGAAGAAGAGCATCACGTATACGTGCTGGGCTGCTTTTTTTCTGAGTGGAACCCTGTCGAACGCCAAGAAGCTCTCGACGAGAATCCAGCAGTTGCCACGGCGTGGATGTAGCCACAATAATGCGCGCCGAAAGTCCTCGTATACTACTATATGGACACAAGTCACGCACCCGACGACGGCCCGTCGTGATCCCACCCGTGGCTGAACCCAGTAAGCCTTCCTGATGCAGGACGACCGATGACCCGATCGACTTTGCAAGGCAAGGGCTGTCGACGTTAATCCATACAAGACTTGATACCAACCAAAAGTGCAGTTACTCGCCTCGATGACACGTTGGACTGCTCATGGCTCGTCACGCACCACAAGGTGCTGCAGGTGCAACGACCACTCGGCCACGTTCCAAACGGGCGTCGGCATGCTCTCCATGGCTACAAATGGACCACAGACGCCTAAAATGACATGTAAAATTATGGCACACCGTTGACAAGGCTACCTGGCGGCGCCGTGGTGTCGAGACCGAGGCGCGGAATCGAAGCCACGATGGCTTCCACGTCGGCGCGCCACGGCGCAGGGTACACAAACACTGCCCCCGTGCGGCCACGCGCGTCGCTATTCCAGAGGTTAAGCCAAGTTCTCACAACGAGGTGGGTACCGGGGACGTGACTGTGCGATGGCTTCCAGCGGTGCCCGCATCGTCTCGAGCGGTGCGTCCACAATATCGATTGCATCTATATGCGTATATATAAGATTCCGAGTTCTCTCACACTTGTCATGGAGCGTACGAGGACTGAGAGCGAAGCGGGGGGGCATGTACGTGCCGGATATGACAATCGTATGCACATTTGCCAGCGATACGTGCTCGCAGAACGGCGTCGACGACGACAGCAGCATCGGCAGTAAGCCTCCTTGGTGCAGCACGCCATACCACACGTAGAGCGCCGTATTGAACACGACCCATAGACCCTACCCCCATATCGTTATAAAATGGATGATCGCTATTAGCGAGGCGTCGGAGTGGAGTACCTGCAGCAGCGTGGACGCAGCCATCGCGGGCCCACTGGCGAGCATGAGCGGAACCAGCACTGGCAAAAGAAACCGCGCTTCTTGGTGCGGTGCCAGCGAGAGCAGTGAGACAGGCACGACGATCGAGGCGACGAGGAGGCGGTGGCGGCGACCGTAGAGCAGAGCGAGTGCTGGGAGCGGGCCAAAGAGCAGCTGCATGTTGATCAACCAGTGGTTCGATCGGGTGTGGAGGCCATGGGCGGCCAAGTGGGCAGGATTCATATTGTACACAAGGTTGTTCCACGGTGCGACGACCCACGACGGTACCTACAGTCGCCATCGATTGGATCGTATCGTCAAAAGAGAGGCATGTGGCGTACGTCGTAGAGAGCGTCAAGGCCTCGGAAGAACCACGTGTCGACCAGCACGATCCCGACGGACGTGAGGACGAACGCTCCAGCGCCGCCAAGACCCGTCGCGCAGACACCTAGTCCCAAGGGTGAGCGAACACCTTTTGCCGTGCAGTGATTGTCTACCGAGAAGGCGCTGGCGCAGGCTAGGCGAGTGGTCATCCGACTTTTTCGACAAGGACGCGCACAGCAGCGTGTCGTTGGAGGCGACAAGCGCGAGGCCGAGTGGGAAGAAGAAGAGGAGGAAAGTAAATCGCGTAAAGGAGCCCAAGGCCAAGAGCGCGCCGAGAAGCAGTGTCTGGCGCGATGCGACGCCAGCATACTGCCGCGGCGTCATGACATGCAGCACGAGAAAGCTCAGCATGAGCAGAAAGGCTTCAAACGTGTTGGAGAACGATCGCGTGAGCAAGAGAAGCGTCGTCCACGACGTGGCAAAGATAAGGAGCGGGCCCTTGTAGTCGATGCCATACAGAGGCGCGAGCGTGTAGAGGGCGATATCAAAGCCGAGCGAGAGCAAGGTCAAGATGACACGTGGCACCAGCAAAAAGAGCAGACCGGACGGCGCGACACCGAGCGCTTTCGCCACTGCGTACGGGAGGCCGGCAACAATGGACCTAGACAACGAAGATGCATGAGGCGAAAGGCCATATTGCAGCGGCCCACGGAAAGAGAATCGAGCGGTTCGGCGCCGACGGTTGGTACTCCCATGGGATGAAGGCACTTGAGATGTTGTAGACGGCGCGGGCCATGACCTCGGGGCACTGGAAGAACTCGTCGGGATGGACCATGCCCATGGAGAAGATGCTGGCGGCGCGAAGCAGCAGCGCGCCGCCGTACACGAACGCCCAGCCCGTCCCCATGATCTCGCTGACGACCGTGGATGAGGATTGGCGGCTTTTTGCCCAATGGCATCGCATGCCTGCGGTTGGCTAATCCCACGCAACCACAGCCCATGCGATGGCCGACACTGAGTCGTGCTCGGCAGTGTATCAGCTGCATTGTCTTGGACTACCAACACGTCACTGCCGTGTCGATAGCAATGAGCCATATAGAGGTACATGGTAGCTCGTGTGGGCAACCGCTGCAAGGTGCCTAAGTGGGTTGTTTATAGTCCAGGACACGTCCGGATGGTGCCGAGATCGGGTCATATCTCGACGGCGTCGCTGCCTGAATGCATCGGTACGGATCCCTTGATGCACATGCATGGACTGCGTCCTTGCTCCGTTAGGTTGTCACCGATGGCTGTACCTGTTCAGTTGCTCAAGTAGATGACAATAGGCCGCAGGATGTCGTCTGTCTCTACATGGCGACAGCGCAGGTTGTGCTCGATTGCAGATCGATACATACGCAACATACTACGATTGATATGGAGTCTACGCTACAGAATTTAGACCTGCAGGCGGGCAAGCGAGAGCACTTGCGTGTTGCGCCAGTCCTTCGTGGCCGGCTGCTCGAGGTGCGCATCAAAATCCACGACCGACAAGCTGCTTTGGGTCAGCGCCCGCTGCAGCACCTTGCCGTCATCATCTTCAAACGCAATGCGCTTCTCCATCTCGATCCAGCCCTTCTTGACGTCCTTGAGCAAGAGGCGCGGCGTCACGAGGTTGCGGTTGTCGAGCACGAGCGCGCATGCACGGCTCGACTGTGCCTCGACCGTGTTGGCGATGCGCGTGTGGACAGGGCCGAGCGAGAGATCGTCGACGCGGGCGTTCGCCACGTACATGCCCACGATCTTGAGCTTGAGCTCAGCTGCGTACGCCTCGACGCAGAGCGACGCAAACTCGAGGAACGGCGCGGTCGGCACCTGGTGCGCTACGGGAAAGGCCTTGGTGATCTCGATACCCTCGCCCATGTCGCGGCCGACGAGCAGCCCGGTCACGGAGAGGTGCGGGTACTGTGCCGCATGGAGGCCCATGACCACCTGCGCATCTTCGCTCACTCGGTACGCCATCTCCCCACGCTGTCCGAAAAGGCTAAATGAGACTCCAATTTTATTCCCGTGATCAATTAATTAAAACATAAATCCGATGGGTTTCGCCTTTTCTTTTATATTATATAATGCTTGTATAGAACATGATTATAAATCGGCTCGATTTGATTCTTGTGATTAAAAATGCACGGGCTCGGGCCTTGAAAATGAAGTATTACTCACACGTTGAAATGTGTTTAGACGCCTTTGGCCTCGAGCACCGCCGACGGGGCGTGAGGTTTAACCTCGTTTTGAACCTGTTTAAACAGCGGCGATACAGCCACGGTCATATTTCGACGCCATGGAGAAGACGCTCAAGGACATGAACGAAGCGCTCGCGAGCTGCATGACGCTCGTGATCCCGCCGATCGAATACCCGCCGCAGATGCGGCCGAACCCAGTGCAGCACGACTCGACCGACATGGCGGATCTGAACGAGCACATGGCCCACTTCTTCTTCCAGGCCAAGAAGCTCGAGCTGCAGCTCTTGGCGCTCGACGAGCCTGGGCGGCCCACGACGGCGAACGAGCTAGAGGCCGAGATCCAATCGCTCGAGGCCGAGCTCAGCGACAAGAACGACCTCATCGACAAGTACTCGGACGTTATTCGCGGCTGGGAAGGCAAGTTCAAGCGCCTCGACTCCAAGATGAACGCGTCCTAAGCCACCTGGCTGAACTGTATTCTGCTCTTCCTCGTCTCGACCTATCCATCCGTGTGCCTGCCATGCATTGCAGACACGAGTTTCTCGCTCTCTCTGGGCAGGCGCTCTCTCCAGGCAGGCGCTGGCGATGGCCACATCGCCGACGTCATCGATTCACCATGCACATATTGCGTCGAATTGATGCGTTAGTTTTGCTCCCAGAGCGACTTCCACGCTTGCAAGAGCACGGTGGTCTGCGTCGCATTGCGCACCGCAATGCGGACGTACGTCGGGAGGTTGTAGCCCGGCGCGCCGGACCGGACCGGCACGCCATGGAGCTTGGAGAGGCGCGTCGCTTCGGCCGCGACCTCGACCGACTTGGTGTCGACCCAGACCCACGAGAGGTACGGCTGGCCGTGGACCGTCCAGGACGGAAAGTGCGTGGCGAGCTGCGCGCCGAGGTTGGCGCGCCACGCAGGCGTCACCTTCCACGTCTCGTTCATGTACGCGTCGTCCTTGACGACCGCCGAGATGAACGCGAGCGCCATCGAGTTGAGCGACCACGGCACTTGCTTGCGCTTGATGGCGGCGGCGTGTGCGGCCGACGGCGCGACCACCGACCCGATGCGGAGGCCCGTGCACGACCAGATCTTGGTCCAGCTCGTCATGACCCACACGTCAATCTTGCGCGTCGCCGCGAGGTGCGCGACCCAGTCGCGCTGGTGGATCAAGCTATCGCTGCGCCAGTGCGGACCGACCCACGGCTGCATGCTTTCATCTACCGCCGCATCGTTAGTCTCATGCAATGCGATCCACGCAAGGTACTATAGGACGTACCAATGATGATCGTGTGGTTGTCCGGGCAGTGCGTTTCAATGTACGCCTTCATCTCGTCGACCGGCATGTAGTCGCCGGTCGGGTTGGTCGGGTTCACGAGGCACGTGAGGACGGCCGAACGGTCGTTCCACGCAAGCGTCGGGCGCTCGTCCGCGTTCGCCGACCGCTCGTACTCCTTGTACTGCGTCAAGGTGCCACCCGGGCGCCACCCGCCCTTGGGCACCGACCGAATGACGAGGTCGATGAGCTCGGACGCGCCGTTGCCGAGGAGGAGCAGCTCCATGTTCTTGAGCGCCTTATCTTCCGGCCACACGAAGGCCGAGAGGTGGCTCAGCGCCGGCTGAAAGTCGGCCGGCGGGTAGTGGTGGATCGTGTGCACGGCGTCGGTCGCGGCCGCCAGCGCGCCGGCGGGCGTGCCGAGGCCATTGGTCGTGACGCTAAAGTCCTCGACAAAGTTGGTCAAGAACTTCCAGTCCTGCCCGCCATGGAACGTCTGCGTCTCTTCGTCCCAGACCGTCGTGTCCGTCATCGCCGTCTTCTTATCGTCTTAGTCGGAAAGGCAAAGTGACTCATCGACATCCCTTCGTCATCCACGCGCTGTCCGGATACGAAGCGACCAATCAACGTGGACCGAATCTAGAATCCGCCAATCGCACGCGCCACGGTGGCACAACGCCGTCAACGGCACCACCGCGTCTTTTTCACGTGTGAAAAATACCACCTCGCCCACGCGTGTGCGAAACGATTCGTGGCGCAACCGGTTTGCTTAACCGGCTTAGAAAGCGACCACGGTTCAGCCGTGTTGTCAACAGCAACACGTACGGCAACTGACTTGCAATATACGGTTGAATCTCTCAAGTTGACTGCTAGTCTGCTGGTCTACGATTCTCCACGCCCCCGTTGTGACCCTACGCGGCAGACTCTGCGAGATTTGTCTGCGAGAGTGGCAACGGGAAGGACGAGCTGTTACCAGGGCCAGGTGTAGGAGGCGCCGAGCGAAGGACACTCATATTGTCGAAGGATTTAAATCGGGAAATCGCTGGTAGACCTGCATTCTGAACCGACCAAGCAGCCTCAGATAAGAGCTGAGAAAAGAGAAGCAGTCTTGGAAGCGGGCGACCAGGCTCACGCAGAGCGTTCGAGAAGGATGGGCGACGACGCCAGGAATCCATGCCCATGGCGCCACTGCGTTCGAATGCACCTTCCACCTCGAGAAGAGTACCCTTTACACGCTCCTCTCGACCTCGTGCACGGTACTCCTTAGTGTACGTACTCCTAGGCACTTGCGTCGTAGAGGAATCGCTACACCATCTCATTCTACTTGCACTCACAAGACCGTTCATCCATTTGCTCGTTGCTTCGTCTGCTGGCAAGCGCAAAACGGTGTAATCGTCATGTCGGGGCTAGCTCATGGCTTCATTTTCGAACGGAACGATACCCGTGAAAGTACAGTTTGGTCTGCACAGATCCAGTAGTAGGCTGTAGTGTACCGCGCAACGCATGGAGCAAGCATCACATGCACCGAGCAATGAGTCGGCAACACTCTCCATTTTCGAACGAGAGAGTCGGAGAGACGCTCTGCTCGCTCTCCCAACCAACTGCACGGACGCTCGCAGAGCCTAGATACGTGGTGCAAGGGTCGCACGAGCACGTCGAGTTCTTCGTCGCAGCGACTTCCTTGCCCGCTCAGCACGCATCTTGATCGTGATCCTGGCATCGTTCCCGCCCTCAACTGGCCCTTTCTCGGGCAAATTGGATGCCTCTTTTTTAAATATGGGATCTATAGTAGCGATTTGTATGCTGAATTAAAGACGCCAATACATTGTCATACGTGGCACACACACACCGTCCTTCGAAGTTCGGCCAACTACGCATTACTGCATGTCAACGCCCGCTGGCCATTGGCTACTCGGAAGGCAACCTCGTCGACGTGTCCCACCTGGCGCGAGATGCTTGCTGCGCAGTCTCGCTTCCGCGTCCATCTACGTACCCTAGTCGTATGCTATCCTCGGGCTTCTCGTCGCTCGCCGCGTCGCTGGCGACCACCGCCAACATGGCGGCCTCGACGGCGCAACTCCACGCCGCCGTGCTCTCGCACTCGGTGCACCTGCCCAAGCGCGTGAGCCAGCTCTGGTCGCACGTGGCCTACGACACGCAGCCGAGCGCGCTCTCCAAGGCGCCATTGGACCTCGACGCGGCGCTGCGTACAGCCGTGTCGCGCAACTCACTCGATACGCTCCGGTTGCTGCTCGACTATGGCGCCAACCTGCACGCGACCGACGATGACGCGCACTCGATTCTATACCTCGCCACGTCGGCGGGCCACGCAGCCATGACGGCCGAGCTCCTTCTCCGTGGCGCGCGGGCGACGCCCGAGATGCTCGAGATCGCCATTGGCCGCCACCACACGAGCGTCGTCAAGCTGCTCTTGCCGCATGTGGCGCCAACTCTCGTCCACGTCCACGACGCAATTGACGCGAATGCGCCAGCCGCGTTGCTCCAAGCCCTTGTAGCGACCATGGACGATGTGGATGCGATGATGGACAACTTGTCGCCGCTCATGCGCGCCGCACACAAGGGCCATGCACACCTCTGCGACGTCCTCCTCGACGCCAACGCCGACGTCTTTGCCGAGAACGCGGATGGCGACACGGCGCTCCACTTTGCATGCCGTGCCGGTCATATGCACGCCACGTACGTGCTTCTCCAGGCCGGCGCCGACATGGACATGCCCAACGGTGGAACGACGAGTCGCCGTTCGAGGTCGCATCGCCGCACCTTACGCCGCTCCTCGCCTGCAACGGC